ATCTATCCGTTTCAACGTATTTTTTTTTTGCTCATCAATCGGTTTAAAGATGACAGATAGAAATCTGAGTTGACGGTAATTGCAAGTCGCTTGATTGTAATTGAACAAATAGTTAATCCTACATTATTTTCCATTTAACTCGTAAACGTCAAACTTACTCAATATTTCTAATTCTTCTCAGAAGAATGTTTGTAGATACGTTTGTAGATATTTGAAATTTTTGAATTGTAATTGAATTTTTATCAATATTTACTTTTAAAGAGAGCGATACGTAGACAGTGATCCACTTTCTGTCCAATATTTTTAATGACACAACCATTAAGTTCTCTTATTTTTTATTTATTCTAAGAATATATTTCTACCTTTGTTCTCTCGATCTTTATTGGCGAAAAGCAATTTTTACGACTAGCTGTTTCTCCAGATCTGGCAATAATACGTTCATTCTCTGAGGACTTTGCAGAGCGAGGATCTGCTGGAAAGATGTTCGACGATCTAGAATTCGTATCTTATCGACAAGAAGAGACTTTTGTCTTTAGCAAACAGGATTTAAATCGATAAAACAATTCTCTGGTGTAGCTTAGGTCTTCCTGTGCTCTGGCACAAGCGGCAATTTAATTGCACTTAATTGCAACTCTGGCACAACAAATAATACTCTAATCGCGTCAGATTCATTCTCGATGTCGTCTTCGTTGCGACATCGATTACGCAACAAAACGGCAAACTTGTTTCATGCTTGTATTACTTAAAGTTTCGAAGATTGATTGGCGCGTTCGTACGAAAAATCGTGCGCGTGATTAAAATTGGATTAATGGTAACTGTCATTAAATTATCACCAAGTAGCAGCGACGCGTGGTGACGCAAAACGCTCCATTAATACAATTATACACTCTCATGTAACCTATAATTGGCTTTGGACGATTTAATATTTTCGATTTTAAACTCACGATTTTTGGCTATACTTTATGTAGCGTTAATTACGCGAAAATCGTCCGTATTCCAATCTCACGTAAAGTCAAAATATATTTTTAACGAGGTTTGTTATAGTATATATCTTTACAGACCCGCTTCGAATTTTGCTTAGGCCACATCAAAGCTGACATCGCATCGTCGACTACATGTGCGTCTCATTTATGTAGCAAATTTGCGTTTAAGCTAACGCAGTGAGTCCCGGAATGTATTATCCGACATTATAATTCCACCGCTACTCTCTCTATCTCTAGCTTTACTTGAAGGTTGATCGTTTATCAGAAGATGCATTACCGTTTTCCTTTGATAACAACAGTTTTATAAAAGTAAGAGAAACCTGTGAAACATAAAATTGTCTTCGTAATAGAACAGCTTGCTGGAACAGTGGACTAACTCTCTGTGTAAAAACGGAATTTTGTACAAATTTTGAATAAATTCTAAAATTAAAGCGGAAAAACATTACTTCATAACATAACCGCATATGATATTGATATTTTTTCCATCACTTTAACTTTAGAATTTATTTGCTCTGTTTTTACAAAATGTGAGTTAGCCCACTGTTGCGGGAAGCTCTTCAATTCTATTAAGCTTATGAACACGTAGCGTGGACGCAACTTATAAGCTTAAAACTTCTAATTTCATATGGGCCGAAAGTATACGAAGTGGGTCAAAGCACAACATCTCACGTACTTCTATCTTTTAAAAACTCTACCAAAGCACCACGTAGCTTCTGCGCGATATTGTGGAAGCATCGAAGACGCGTGTCTATTCTGAGCTTATTCGGGCACCTTTGCGAAACGACTTGTTCTCACGAACTTGTCGATAATAGTTCGGTAACCCCCGGGCCTTTCCACGTTCGCGCCACGATCATCGACTACCACGAGAATTCAATTATCCCGCCGTTCAAACCACTGGCCGGGTGAAGATAATACGAGACGAACAAGCCAGGGGAGATCGGCCATCTTGGGCAATGGTAGGTCCGGGCTCAGAAATTCTCTGACTCTCCGCATGTCTCGGATGAAAGGCTCAACACGACCCAATGGCGCACATACTCGCCGAGTACCCTTCACGTGCCAACGATTTCCGCAAAGCTCGGTCATTTACCGCCGAGTCGCGGATACAAGTCTTGATTGAGCTGTAAAACGCTGTATTGTCAACAACTGCAATGTGCAAACTGTGAACAATGTCTCTTTTTGTCAGATGTTTCCTAGAAAAATGTAGGATTGTTCACTACGTGGAGCAGTGTTAAATCGGTTTTGTTGCTTGTTCCAAATAATAATTTAAAACCAATATCCTTGAGTAAAAACTTCTATAATTGATAAATAATTAATTGTAATAATTTGGTTCTAAAAAATAATAAATAAAATGCCAATTTGAGCCAACATTGGTTATTCGTGTATATTTTATACCATTCATTCATTCAAGTGAATATTATGACGTATACGTTTCTACGGTCAAGATCCTCTTTAGAGAAATACAGAGAAATTTACTTAAACTATTAATTATAAAATTACATAATGATAGCGCTACGAATATAAACTATTAATGTATAAAATACGAAAAAACTGTGATAATGATATCCGAGTTAATCTTGGTCAATCAAATTACTAAGTTTAATGACTGTCAAGAATTGAAACTTGTTTCATTAAGATATATTGTACATTAAGATATGTTCTATGTGAACGTTTTACATTCGTCTACTAAACAGTTAGGTCGTGTCTAATAACTCTTAATGTGTTTCATTAAATGGAACAATCTAATGGAACACGTACATATCTTAATGAAACAGTTCAACCTTGACAGTCATTAAACTTAATTTGATTGACCAAGATTAACTCAGATATCATTACCACAATTTTTTCGTATTTTATACGTTAATAGTTTATACTCGTATGCGCTATCATTATGTTAATTTATAATTAATAGTTTAAGTAAATTTCTCTGTACTGAAGAGGATCTTGACGTAGGTCGAAATGTATATGTCATAATATTTACTTTGAATAAATGATATAAAATACACGAATAATCAGTATTGGCTCAAATTGGCATTTTATTTATCATTTTTTAGATTTTTCTTTAGAGCCTATTGATTATCTTGTTTTAATTTGATAAATAATTATCAGTTTTATTTAACTTCTCCCTTTATAGGTATTCGCCAATTCTCTCATTTTTTAAAATGAAAATTGTCGAAAATATGTAATGATATTTTTGTCTTAAACAACATGTGCGCTTTCGATGGATGCGAGATTATCTTGCTACTACACTGAGAAAAAAAAGTTGTTAACTTGACTAAATGCGTTTAGTTCGTAATGTACGTTATTTAGTTCAAATATTTGTACAATAGATTAACAAAATCTTGTAATTTAAAACATATTATTTGTTTGAATTAACAAATATTTAGTTGAATTAACAAATATTTGCTTGACAATCCGTGACCGTTACATTTAGTTGAATCAATTAATATTTTTTTTGAAACAGCGACTTTTTTTCTCAGTGTACTGTAATGTACTGCAATAGTATGGCCGAACGTTTACTTCATGTTCGTAATTCTCTCACTCTTCTCTATTTCTTAGACTTTTATGAACTAACATAGACATACAATAACAATTTTTGCCAATATTGTCTATAGTGTCAGTAGTCATTTGCAATCGATTTTTTTCTAATTGCAGCTCTGAAGACATTGAATCGTTTGAACAAGGAAGGTGAGGCGCTTGCCCTTCAAGATGATCTCACAACGCACCCCACCTTGGCCTTGATGCGGCGCATCCTTGCAGATGCACAGGTAATATTAGCAAATTTTAAACGAGCACTTTGCAATACTAATCTACGACACATTGAAAAATATTTAATTTATTCAGATTTTCTTGACACAACTGAAAATATAGTGTTACGTGTAATCTGATAATTCTATCTTCTTGATATTCAAAGAAATAGCATAGTTAAAACATGCTATTGTAATTCGTCTCTATAATGCGAACTCCATGCCCGATTCAAACATCCCCTACGCCAGAAGTTAATTATCGAACAGATATAGGGCTGCATATAAGCCCATTGATATCGAAATTCATTGTTTACGTGAAATTGGATATTAGATATGTATTAACAAACGTCGCATCGCAGATTTTGATAAAGTGTATAGTTTTTCATGAAAACTTTGAGTGGCACGAATGAAATTGCGAAATAGGATTAATGTTATTAATCTTCTAACGTGCGCGCGGTAAGATAATTTTCAGAATGTGTTTTTAGAAAAGGATGAAGTTGAATTCAATCTAATATTCTATCTTGTTCATTTTTCATGTAATCTACACAAAATAGATAAAAGAAGTAAATGATAACATGAACTTTTCCTCTGTCGATTTATAGATAAAAAAATAAATAATTAAATATAATAATTCAACTGAAATCGATTTTGTTAATAAAAAGATCAATTTGATTTAAACGTTCTTTCTTTTCAAGGATTACATTTTTACGATTGAATTTTGACGCGAGAAGAAAGCACATCGAGAGGCGAAGAAACAATTTCCATAATCATAGAAAATTGATGTGTGTTTATTCAAACTGGAAATTCGTCAAAAATATTTCTTCATTGTGAGGGGATGAGCAGCCCTCTCGAGAGATTCAAGAAAGTGGGGAACCGAGAATTCGGTGGTTAATTGTTAGACGAACGGAGGGGTTCCATTGATAGTGGATTCCTTTGTCCACCGCCAACCATTGTTACCTACGCACGCGCGACCCCCGGCTGTGATTTGCCGACATTTTCCTACGGCTGCTGCCTGATGTTTATTACGAAGAGAGATGTTGGATGAGGAGAATTGTCGTCGGGGAGAATTGTTCGCACTAGTTGAAAGTAAAAAAAGTGGCCGGTGGTAACGCTCGTGACGGATTTATCGATGCAAGTAAAGTAACAAAATAAGAGTTGGGGTGGAAAAAGTGTCCTTCGCGTGATTCGTTGTTAGGTGTTTCGTACGAACCCTCCTGTTAGATATAAGACTGTTTCGTGTCACATGTTTCATATCTTGTTACGATCAATACAACTAGTACTCACGTGAAATTCTTATGAGAAATTTTTCGTATCTAAAAATTTTATGTTTAAACGGAATAAGAACGAACTAACATTTCGCAACGATAAGATAAGATAATTAAATGGTTTCTCAATAATTCTTTTTAATTTAATAATTTGATAATTTCAGCTAATAATTAATTTATGCTGGCAACGAGTCTCTGTTTGCTTGCGTAACTAATTAAACGAAATCACTCCGGCAATTTGTGCTTCTCAAAGTAGTCGAGGGAAAAGAATTAAGTAAAAAACGCAGGTATCTACTGTCTGTTCCTTATCTAAAATTGATACGTCAAAGTTACACGTCAGGAACATATAAATTAATCTATTAAAATCGAGAATGACGTCTATGTATATTTAAGTAAGGCTTTAAAGATGGATGCAAAGGACTAAATCCTTTTGTAATGATTCTGGCGATGCCGTGTCAATAGAATAAAATATCGAAGAGATATTGTTTTGCCACTGGTTTCTACCTTAGACATCTCATGATGAAATGCAAATTTATATATATACATAAACTTGTATATAAGAAAAGATTCACGAGAATTGGAAACTTGAGAATAAATAAATGTCTACAAACAGCAATGTAGTCTCAAATATTTACACGGAAAGAGAACTGCTAACAAAAGTTTTGCCAAAGTATCTAAAGATGTAACTAGATACACATTTTTTTGTTCGACTATCGAAATAATTATGATGTCTATGCTAGTTGTTGGAAAATTATCAAAAATTATTTGCAACATTGCTGATTATGTTTGAGCGTCCATAATTATTTTAATGCTACGACAAAGTTATTTTCAGATCTAGCTAAATATTTCAGCAAAATCCTTCTTATTATGCAATTTTTTATTTAAAAAAAAATTTTATTTTTACAATCTACTATCAGTATCTAATTAAAGTTAATATACAAGTTGTAATAGTTGATGTACATTCAATCAGCATAGTTGATTTGTATATCCAATCGAATTGATTCAGGAATTAATTAATGTAAAGCACACGTGCCAAAATTTCGTATCTTCCGTTAATTAAATTTGTGAATGCAATGCGTTTGTTTTGCCTACGTAAAACAAACGATATTACCATCGTTAATATCTCACTGTCTCACAATAATTGCAATATCGCTTTTAATACAAAAATCCGCGCGCTACGGAAACGTGTTATTCGATATTGATCACGCTGCACGCGCGAATAAAAGGCGAACAGGAATGACCGAACTTCCATTTTAGCGTGTCATTCATTTGGAGCGTAACGCGCGTCGAAAGCACTCGCTGTTAAAAGAGCCGTCAGACTTGTTAATGTTTGATATCATGATTTTCACAGGGCGGATAGATTAATGTTGGCGCTTGGCTAATTTCGTGGCGTATTGCCGGCGATACGATGGTGAATTGCAGAACGTTTTATGCAGCATAATGCAAGAGATGCAATTACATCACAAATACAGAATCATGCCTATATAAATACCCCATCGGGGCTTCAATTGTTATCATATTATTATTGAATTTTTGTTATTTTGTGATACATATATGTGACGGCTATGTAAATTGAATATTACAAGTCTGAACATATAAAAATATTTTATTAGAACTTAAAAAAAGAAGAGCATAAAATCACAGCACAAGATATTGTTTGTGATATTTGATAAATCATTACATTAATAAAAAATTTTTTAATCTTAAGATAAAACATCTATAAATCTTAAGATTACAAATTTTTTTATTAATGTAATGATTTATTAAATGATTTATGTAATGATTTATTAAATATCACAAACAATATCTTGTACTGAGATTTTATGTTCTTCTTTTTTTAAATTTTGATTTATAAACCACGTTTGTTACAATTATATATTTTATTAGAGCTCGCGTTGAAAGAATTTGCACATTTCAGAATTGTTATGTAAGATTTTTTTAAAGATTTCAAGTATATTCATATAAACAGACCCGATAATAATATTTTATGACAACTAATTATTAATTTAATATTATAAGTCTGAGTTTTATTCTCGAAAAATATCGCATATGGAAATATTGTACGTATGTTACGTATATTATAGATGTTTTATTATTTCATACTTTTTGAAAATAAGACTTCCGAACATATAAAATAAATATTTTATTAGAGGATCGCATCAGAAAAAGTATTCACGCGTTTCGGAATTATGCTACGCAAGATTTTTAGAACGTTTCGAACCTTCATAATCAGATCTGGTAATGACATATTCTCGGTAGACAAGATTCTCGCGGATTTGGATTATTATAGTTAAATCACACGCGACACGTCGCGCATAAACACGTTATCTGACTTCAAATAGCATTCGAACGTGGCGGACGTGGCAATTTTGAGATTAATGCAATCAAACCGATGGCCCGCAGTTTGCTGACAATGGATACGTGCACGGCGAAATTAAAGTTGAGCCGCGCTTGCGTTTCGTAATTATAACGTCATAAAAATCGCGGCAATAATTTGTATCCGGTGAGGTAACATAATGTGAGGCGAGAACATTATCATGTCATGGGATTAGTGAAGGAATTTCCTGTAATATGACTGAATATCACGTGTCAATTATCTTACGTTAATTACGGATCATATAACGCTCGGATATCTAATCTAAATATATAATTATCATCAATTTAAATGTTATAATTATTCAAATATATAATTGGAAAATGACACGAAACGCGCGTAAGGTGGATGGAAATTAACATTGGAGAATTATCGTAGAATATATTTATCATCTACATATATTTGGTATATACTTTTTTATTTCACAATAATATTATTATTCAGAAAATCCAGATTTTAGTCCCAATTGTAGTTACCATTGAACGACCAAAATGTCGATCGCGTCTACCTATATTGTAACATTGAGAAATATATGAAATGCATGGTCGTTCTTTGCTGCTTCAGCGCAAACAGCCCTTAAAAAGCACGCGTTACAGCTTTTGAGTCAAGCAACAGAAAAAGTCGCGCTTTCAATCGCGTCCCCGTTTCCAAAAGATGATCAATCGGCCGCCGAGCAATATCCGGCGGAAGGAGAATTTCCACTCGACGTTTCAAGGCGAAATCACCCCATTATACCCGCGTTTGAATTTCGATCTCCTGCGCGTATCGGCGTATCTACGACAGAAACGAGGAGAGAGGAACGAGTACGACGGAAGGCGTGTATCCGAGGGGGAAAGAGGAAGCTGTCGTGCACGCCGGTCGGGTCGCAGGACACATAGAAAAGGCGAGACGTGACGAGGCATATGAATTGGGCATAATGTCGCCTTAACGTACATACACCGTGGAACGGATACGCGCTGACAGAGCCGGTAACAAAGTTTCTCAGCCGCTGGATACGATCGATACGAGCGATATCACAAAGTTCAAATGCGGCTTCGCTCGCTGCGACAAGAAACGTTGCCGTGAATCTCGCGAGAGTGGCGACAATAATCAGAAATTTATGAAAACGATACAGCTTCTCGAAGTAGCATTTCGTGATGATTTTTTTCTTACTTTCAGAGAGATTGATTTCTTACTTAAAAAATGACACGATTAAAAAAATTAATTTAGAAAAGAGGAAAATATGTTTTTTCAATTTGACAGAAAATTATTGGCTAATCAAATTATATCGACAAAAAGAATATATTCTTAATATAATCGAATGACATTTTCGTCATTTTTTTTGCACTTCTTAAAAATCGCATTTTTGAATTATGACGCTTTTGACTGGTAAATATTTTTTT